AATACATTATACATGGCAGAATTGATGAAGTTGCCAGTTGGCTTACCGAATACGAATCGGATGTAATATGCTTGGTTGGGGTTGGGGATGTTTCATATGCATTCAGCTTATAACTGCACCGAGTGGTGGCTCGGTTGGCACGTAACTGGGTAAGCCCCAGGCTTAATGCGGTTTCGAGCCCCGCTATTAATAATTTTAAATTTACCTTTGAAAAGAGTATAATGTTGTTAGATAAAGTTTGCGGTATATGGCATGAAAATTAAATTATGTCCCTGTAGGGGAAAGGCGAATAATCAATACAGAAAAAAAAAAGAAAAAAAAAACTTATAAATGCAGGAATCAATGCTTTGTTTTCGAAAATAAAAACAACTATCATATTAATAAAATTATATTATTTTTGCTGATGTAACAGACTAACAGTTGTTTTTGGATTTCAGATTTAGTTTTTACAGATCACTCCTCACACCATTTGCAACCGCACATCCAGAACATCTCTGATGCTTAAATATTGTTATTCATTGGAAATTTTTTTTCAATGCACTGCTGTAATATACTGTGAGATTGATGTAAAGAGCTATTATAAGAAGTAAATCCGAATTCTTATTTTGTTTTCAAAAACAAAATCAACCATATTGTCCAATACCGTGATGAAATTCAATCCATCACTTTGGGCTTCTCATAAGGCCTAAGTCATGTTTAAGCCCAATACTAGCTCTTGGAGCCCCGGTTAATGCTGGAGAAAGTTTGGCTCATTTAACAGTCAAATGCCTAATTTCAAAAGCACAAGCTTTTGTATATAAAAAAAAAAATATTTGAAGGGAAAATCTATAAGCAGGATGTTTCTGATTGATACTTTTCAGATTTTGCTTTTAGAGTTCCTTCCGTGTCAAGTGGTCAGCACCTTGGCCTCCCTGAGCCCCCGTTGATCAGGGAGAAATAATAGGGATAAAATTTATGTCCAATATATAATATGGAGCTATAGACAATTATAGAGTTGAACAGGCGGAATTCCTGACTTCATCGTGATRAACGAATTTACATCTGCGCCCCACAATTGCCCCATAATATATCCCAACCATTTATTGGGAACATCTCCCACTGGTAATTTTGGGAGATGTTCTCAATGTACGCTAAGATGTGTATGTGGAGCGTTTAGGGGAGGGGGAGGGAGAGGGGGGCAGATGTGATTTTCTGATTAACAGTTCAAAACAAAGAATTCACATCTGCACTCCATACAGCGTTCCCCATGGGCACCCCACATGCACATCTGAGTGTGCATTGGGAACATCTCGTGCACTTGTCATTAGATGTTCTCAATGCACAGTTTGGATGTGCTGTGGGGTGCCAAAGTGATTTCTTCTGTAAATAGGTAATGTTGTTTGAGTTCACATCTTTGCCCCACAAGGGGCCACCCCATAACGTCCCACAGCACATTCCCGCCGTGTATTGGGAACATCTCCCGATGATGACATCATTGATTCTGATATTATCATCGGGAAATGTTCTCAGTACACGGCAGGGATGTGCTTTGGGATGTTGTGAGACGGCCCCTTGTGGGGTGGAGATATGAACTCACATTGTTTAGGCTTAATTTGGAAAGAGTAAAAATAAAATATGTACAATGCAAATACATGGTTTGAGAGTATCCTATTAAAAGTTTTGCACTGTATATATTTATATTTACACTTTTCCCAAATTGGAGTGCAAAACCTTATATTTTATTTGTATTTATATTATACATATTTGTATTTGTACTCTTTCCAAACTGAGACAAAAATTTCACGATCTACCCAATGAGTAAAAAATCTCATGAAGCTGTCAACTGCTCAGTTTGTAAGGTCTTGGAGGAGCCAGAAGTTAGTGATAAATTATAAGAGTCCGGTGTGATTAGGGGTATAACCAAGGTTTTAAAAACTGACTTGGAACCGGAACAGTTCTGGCCACCAGTTTCTGGGTCGATGGTACGACCGTCCCATTCAAACAGATGACCCATTTTAACAAAAAATTAAAAAATAATAAAAATAAAAATGACCAAAAACCGTTGAATGGGTAGACAATTAAATTGCCCAAGCCAACGGATCATTGACCAATTCAACATTTTTTGATCAATGACTGGGTTTGAGATAAAATAGAATGGGCTGCCTGGATGGTTCCCAAGCTGAACGGTCCAACTGTCCAGGTCAATGACAGTTCGAAAACATTRAATGCAACTTACTGTAAAGTCTGGCCAACCCGAATTGCTCCCCTACGTGTGATGCACACGGTGTTAAAAGTTAAAACATGATCGTATTTTATACGGGAGTGATTATAAGTTTTCTAATAAAAAAGAAAACCGAATCGGCTGTGAATAGTTCATATTTTTAAAATTTTTGTATCAACAAAACCACACATTTTTAAGGGAATAAAAAAACAAGAGAGTAGGCCGACGTTGACAAATGCATCTTAGAGTATAGTAATAGTTTTCTTTTATCTTTCGGTTGTCGGAATGGAAGCCGGATGGCATGTTGTATGCCTTATGCTTTTGCTCCATACCTAGTTGGCTAGTTGGTTGAAGAAGATGGATGGTAGGCTGATTGAGCTTCACATCGAAGGTTGGGCTGATGGAGAGTGGTGTTGCCGAGTAGCCCATGCTTAAAGGAGCACATATACTTGCCATCATAATTGGGCCCAGATAAAGTACGGGTGAGGCCCGTTATGCCGTCGACAATGGTTTGAGAAAGCCATCTATCTATCTATAAAATATAATGTAATCCCCATGACAGAAAAATGTTTCTTTTCTTGGGGGCCCAGAATGCCTTTTCGGCCTCTTAGGATTTAGGAAGGATTGGATTGGGACCTTGTGTTATTACTCTTTGCTAGCTTTTGGGCTAACGATTATGAAAAGCATCTCCTGAATTAACTTTATGAAGAGAAAAAAAATAAACATTTCCCACATTTTTCTTCTTTGAATGTTTCTTATTTTTCATACTGCTGTTTATTTGCAGTGCACTTTCATTTGCATTGGTACAAATATATAAAGGCTCAGTTTGGAAGGAGTATAAATACAAATTTGTAGAGTATAAAACCTTATATTTTATATTATTTGTATATATTTACATATAAATATCTGTATTTATATTCCTTCCAAACTGAGCCCAAAATTCAAACGGGAAGAATGTAAATTCTGAATTACTTTGGCTTCCGGTTTGTTAAACCTGGGTTTAATTTTTACTCCATCTGCACCCATTTCACTCTGTCAACTACGACATTCTGTTTCTTTCATTGTCAATATATAATAAATTAATTAAAATGGGTTCATAATAATCCACAATAACTGAAATTAAATATAAATAATATGTATACGACAAAAGTTGGTATTTAATCCATATTGTGGTGCATTAATTCGGAGCTAGCCAAACAGCCATGTGTGCTATAAAGTATAAACAACTGCCTGCCTGCACGGCATCAGCATGTGAAGAGAATTAGAGGGTCGCCTGGACTCCATGCAGGAAGACCGTTTGACCAGAAATTAGTTGTTTATTTCTTCTTTTTAATGGTCAGATGAGAAATTAGTTGGATCAAATGATTTTAGTATCCGAATTCTAGAGCTTTTTTTACACTTCTATCTATCTTGTTTTCCTTTCCGTGTAGTTTCTTTTTCGGGCTCCCAGAGAATACAGATTAGGTCGTCTGAGCATTCAACGTCCACATGGTGTGTCGGAATAGGACACCTTGGATCGATGAGAAAAAGAGATAGAAGAAACACGTACCTGTACCACTAAAGTATCGGTACAATTATTTTCCTACACATTTAGTGCTTCCCTAAGGATCTGTTGTGCGTGAAAGTAGATGTGTAGAGGATATAAAGGTAAAATAGACTTTGAAGATTTATCGGCTGAGTCGTGTCTTTAACACTGTCCTTAAGCAGAGTTTCGCTTTTTCTGCATAAAATCTGATGCAGTACAGGAAACCCTGCGTTCTGCTTTAGGATTCAACGCCTTTAAAGCACTCAATAACCTTGCACTTGGAATATTGAGCAATACGAACTGCAGCAATCTCTTAATTCGGAAAATGAATGCAGTATGCATAGAATGAATGAATGTTGAGAGTAAAATGTTCAGGGTATGAATAGATTTTTTAATGTAAGAGAAAGAAGTTGAGACTCTTGTGAGGGACTCCATTAAAGGTTGCGACAAAGAGATGCTAAGTCAAGACTGACATTTTTTTATTAAAAAGAAGAAAATGAACAGTCACTTATTTGAATTCGAAGTTAAAACAAGTTTAAAATGAAGGCACAACTGTTCGAGTTAAAAGAAAACCAATAAACAATAAGCAGATAACCCGCACCCACACCCCTGACCTGACCCGGCCTGGCTCAACTTGCATGTGTGAAATAGAATCCCCAACCACCCCAAGCCATGATACCATAAGACCATATGTATAATACCCCATTTGGGTACCGTAAGAGAAAGGCCATATTCTCCTAATTTCTATTTATTAAACCAGTGGATGAAAACACATAATAAGGCATTTGACTCGGCGAATTGGATCGGCTAACCTAATTAAAGTTATTCAGGAAAAATTGCAGAAAAAAAAAGTTATTCACGTAAAGAGAGAGGCGGGAGGGAAAGAGCATTATTGGCCTCCTGGTAAATTGCTTACCCACCTTTTAAAAGGGGTAATTGATACTCTTCCGTATCTTCGATTACCTTAGAATCCAATATAGGGCAAATGAACGCAAAAACTGTAGCTAATTTACCAATTTATCCCGCTAAATACCGGCAAACGAACAGGGCCTGAGAATAAAGAAAGAATAATTCGGGTCTTGGGTTCTAGGTTTATTAATCTAGTTCTAATTCTATGATTCTATATCCCAGTAGATACTTGGGTTTACGTTGATTCTGTTGGTTGCTTATCAGAAGAGTCTCACGTAGAAAAGATAAAGAAAAACTGTGCCGGTTTATATAACTGAGTTCATGGTTTATGATCGAATATGAACCCTTTCATCAGCAACTCGAATATCTCAAGACCCAAGAATAACTATTAGTCTCAGATTATCAACAACTTCCAACATAAGAAACAAAAGATATTGGTTAATCAAAAGCTAAAAAAAGAAATGAAAGCTTGATAAGTGGGAGGTTGGGGGGTTACTTTCAAGTTTAATTTCAACTGGCTTGAAGATTTGCGGCAAACAATTAATGAAATTGCAAAATAATGAACATAAATTTCATTGGACCCTTACAAAGAAAATGCTTAATTCGGGGCCGGCAGTACCATCGGGGTTTATCATGTACAAAGCTTCTGAATCTTTCGATCCGACGACCCTCTCGAACCGAGCTCGCATGTATGTTAACTCCCCATCCGCTAATTCTTTATCAGATGGGCAAGGCAGGACGCCAGCTCCCATGGAGACCCCTCGCAGTAGCTGCATGACATGGATCTCTTCCTCGGATCTCACCTTCCTCCTGATGGAATATCCCGTCTTCCTGCCATTATAATACACAGCCCAGACGAACTCTTCCAGTAGTTTCTTCTTAGAAGTCTTGGTCTCGCTCTCCAGTGCAATCCTGACCAAGCCTGAGGCTATCTCCTTGTGGAATGCACTGGTGAGGATAGGCAGTTCTATGACAAACGTGGGGACACACTTGGGGTCCTCCTGTATCGCCAAGCTCACTCTCCCTTTACGGTAGCCAAACAGAGTTCCTGTCGCTGTATATCCATGGCTAGTGAGTAAAGACTTTCTGGGTCTTCCCAGTAACGCCACCATTTTGCATCCAGAGCTCAGTTGGGGGAAGAGCTTGAACACGCGAAAGAGAGACTTTGATCGCTTGTCGCCGGACAGACTGGACAGTTGCCGGAGCAAAGACAGTATCCCGGGAGTTTCCATCGGTTGGCATAGGTTAGATGGTGTCGTCGTCTTCGGCTTATCTTGTGAAGATGGCATCAGTGCGGTGGCATAGAAATTAAGGATTAATGTCTGAAATCAATGTGTGAAGGCATCCTGAGTTATATAGAGGAAGGATTAATTGAGATGGGTTGGGAGGGTGGTGGGGCGATCCATCTACTCCATCTCCATGGAATCTTTGAAGTGGAGGAGGAGAGGAAACAGAGACCCTCCAAGTTGGTTAGTAGAGAGGAAAAGGCTTAATTATAAAGTATGATGTGACCAAGTTTTAGTGATGAAATTGAAAAGAAAGGAAGTTGAATGTGATAATAGGAAGACTGAAGGCAGTGGGTGTGGGGAAAGAGGGAAGGGAAAAAGATGAAAAGGGACCCCCCGTCCCCGTGCTTTCAAGTTTGGCATGTGCTTTACTGATCATTTACATGGGTTTTCAACGTCACATACTTTATACTTTTCTATCCCCTCCCCAACCCCAAATACTCAATAATTTTATTGAGCTTCTTTCATCTTTCCCCGAAGTTATCTTATTCTTCCTCTTCATCTCATCCGTGGAACTTCAATTCGTTTTTAATTACTCCACCTCTCTACTCTCTTCCTTGCTTCAAATTTTCTGTGTGTGTGAAGTGTTATCATCACCACAATAGTTCTCAAGTTTCTAAATAAACACATTGCTCTGTATCGAGCTGCGCTATCCCTTGAACCAAGTCAGACTCTGAAACATTCATTGTAGGGCGTCGACTGATATACACCCCAACCCCAATACGTTTGGATATTTAAAACCTTGAAAATTCTCTTGTTCAGAAAGGGTTACCATTGCCTAAATATCTAGAATTAATATGTGGTCTTCAATATAATTCTATTTATTTTTTGTTTAGGACTGCTTAGGAGCTAGGGTGTGGATTAGTCACACTTATGCCCACACCCAGTAAGGTATTGGGGGAAAATTAAAAATCATAATAATAATAAAGAAAGAAACTTAGGCTACGTTTGATTAAACTTCTACTCATGGTTTTCAAAATCGGACCGGACTGGACGATTGGGCTAGAAAAATCAAGAATTGGTTGTTTGATCGGTTCCGTTTTTCCCAAAAACAGGATTTTCTTTTAAAACCGTTGATTTTGGTCAGCGAACTGCTGAATTGGACGATTAATCGTTCGAACGATTTTGATCATTTTTTATTTTATTTTTATTTTTTTGTCAAGACAGCCTGAGCATTTGGTTCAAACGATCAGACCGTTAGACCTAATAACCGGACCCTGACCGATTCAATCACCGGATCGGTTTTAAACACCATGCTTCTACTCCAAAAAATAAATAGTGAGTTTTGAAAAAGAGAAAAGAAAATCTTGTTTGAGGCTGAAAATTTCCAAACATTAAAACTTAAAAATTAAAAATGGTTTTTAAAATCATAAAATTCATCAACTGGACCATGCCAAATACAACCTCATAGTCTTATTTCCTTCCTTGGTGCATGTTGAAAGTGTCAGCAATCTACTCAGTCTTGACAAATATTTTAAAGCGAATGATATGACTATAACATTTGGTAAGTTAAGCAGTCTTGTCATCAGATAAAACAGTGGAGAGGCCCCAACAAAAGTTAGTCAGTGCCTATCACCGGGCCACTCTTGTTACTTAATTCAAAAGGGTCTCTTAATTTCAAAGAAAGAAAGAAAAAAAGGAAACAAGAGAAAGCTGACCATCAACTGAGAAATAATTCCCTGTCACACTCACACCTCAACCTAAAACAATTAAACCTGACCATCAATTATCAATATCTGGCCTCGATGGCCACTAACATGCAAATTTGGATGACTAGTAAAGATAAATTAAAGCCCACTTAATTAGACAATGTCACAATGAGGGGAATTTAATTAGAATCATCTTGTCCCTTCAAACCACTATAATATATAGTTTTTATTTATATATATACAAGCATTCTACCCCAGAGCTGAGCTGAAGACACATCTCCACTCGCTATCCCACTTATTGCTTACATTGAAAAAAAAAAAACTAAAAAAAGAAAAAGACGATAGCATACAAAGGAAAACAATTGGGAATGTCATCCTTTTAGAACCATTATCTCTATATATTAAAGTGTAACATCAAAAGCGTAAATATGAATTGTCCCGGGACAAAAATGTTATGGCAAAAGAAGATAACAGCTGTGCATTCATTAACTCTAACAACTCAATTCATTCAAGTTTTGGTTACGTCTTAGTGCCAAACAGATCTAACATAAATTTCCTCTAAGGCAAATCACATCATTACGAAGTTAGGTGTCAATGAAGGGACCCTCTCAATGAAGAGAATTCATGAATCACGAATATGGATTAGTTAATTTCTTGCTAACTCATCTTAGAAGGTACTAGCTAGTGCTTAGGTGTGTGAACACAGAACACCTACATATCTGTCATTGTCTCATTTGACTAGCTACTCTTGAGTCTGGGGTTGTCTCACAAGGCATGTTCTCTTGATATTTTAATTAAGCTCCGTTTGCATCAACTTTTGCTTTTGAGCTTTGGGTCGTGGGAAAACAAAAGCTAACCCAAAGTGTTTTGAACTTTGATAATAAATGAACAATTGCTTTTAAAAATAGGTAAAATTTTATTTTAGTATCCTGAATTTTGAGGGTAGTGTGAAGTTAGTATCTGAACTTTTAAATGTGTTATTGAAGTATGCAAATTTTCAAAAARTGTCAAGTTGATCATTGCCGTTAATTGACCGTCAATTATCTATTGAAAATGTCAAAATTATTCTTCAAAAAAAGACATTGTTCATTGTTTTTTACCTTGAGAGTAAACCGATTGAGGTGTTTGAGATTCTAAACTAATAAAGTCATTGTCTTCTACCTTTAGATCTGAAACACATTCTTGTCCATTTATTTCTTTGCTTTTAGTTATTGTTTCCCTCTATCATATTTTATGTTTTTTTTCTCTTTTTCTTTGAAAATAATGAATTCAATTTCATGATAGAAGACAATGAACAATATCTTTTTAAAAAGTAGTTTTGACATTTTCAACAAATAATTGAGAATTGGTTAAGAGCAGGGATCAACTTGATACTTTTTGAAAGTTTACATACTACAATAACATGTTTGAAAGTTCAGGTACTAACTCACACTATCCCAAAGTTTAGAATACTAAATTGGAATTTTCCCTTTTTATAATGATCAAAAGTCAAAACACTTTTATATAACCTGCAAAACACAAAGCTTAGAAATGATTTTGGGCTTTTAAAAAAGGATAAATATTCCTCGATTTATTAATTAATTAGTTTAAGCAACTTTATGCACATTTGACAGTTGAGACTAGAGAAAGTGGTTCTTGAATCTTCTTCAATTTTGTCTAGTAATAATTGCGCCTATGAGGAGGGGTCGCATAATCTGATGGCAACCTTTTTGAGCAGTGAACAGTAAAGTGATTCTTATCCTATGATGGGTGGGTTAGGAAAATGATTTAGAAATGCACGCGCTTAACTGTGGACTGGTTTATATCAGACCCCCGGTGTTGTCTACCAACAGGAAAGAATAAAAAAAGAAAGAATAGAAATAGAAAACTTTAAAAAGGGAAAGAATCCCTTAAACCTCAGTCCAAGGAGATTCATGCATGGCAATGAACAGGCAGGTATGGGCGTTAAGTGGATACCAGTCCGACGGTTGATTGTATCTTTCAAATAATTAAGTAGTTGTTCCTGAATGATTTAAGCCTTTTTGTTGCTTTCCTCTGTCTCAACCTTTGAATTTTTAGAACGAATACAAATATGGAAGCCCCACATTCTTAAATTATAAAGAAATAATAAGGTAAATTACAAATGCATTACTCTCTTCACAAAGCACAAGTAGATGAGAAAGTTGATGTATCCCAAGATGAGGAGAACCTGATTATTTTTATTATTATTTAGGGAAACAGCCCAGTTCCCTTCAGATTATCTTGCCATCTTATGTGGGTCTCAGCACAGAAATTTTAGTTATGGCAGTTGTTTTTATTTGAAAAAATAAAATCATACAATATTGGTAATTGGCAAATACCTCTTAGGTTATTCAGGTTGGAAGAGTATAAATGAAAATATAAGATTTAGAAATACAATATATAAGTTCACTAGGACGTAGCTCCAAGGTTTTTAAAAATGATTCGGAGAACGAACCGGTCAGGGGTCTGGTTCCCTGGTCGAATGGTCTGATTGTCTGAATCGAATGGTCGGCCTATTTTGATAAAAAAATAAAAAATTTTAAAAAATTAAAAATGGTCAAAACCGTTCAAACGATTAATCGCCTGAGTCAGCGATTAATCGTTTCTCAACAGTTTTGAGAAAAAACAGAATCAATCATCTAACCGGTTCCCGATTTTTCCAATCCGATCTAGTTTTAAAAACCATGCATAACTCAATTGGAACATTAGCTGATTAATTTATTCTAGTAGAAATGTGGGTTTAATTTCTGCAACCACCAACTTTGGATAGTGTGGTATCGGGTTATTCAAACGACCCTTATGGGGGATTCGGGCATATCACCAAAATACTATATACTCTATCCCAAACTGAGCCTAATAGTGACTGTTGTGCTACTATTATATATAATTTTCTTTTCAAAAGCAGGTCTCTTTTTATCTCCTGTCCCAACAAGCAAAGTGGTGTGTGCAACAATAATTGGACAAGTAAAACTGAGGCAAATAGGTTTTGAAACTTCATCAGGTTCTACTTGTACCGCATAATAAAAGGAAATAAATCAAAAAGATTGTCCTTTGCACTTGCATGTGAATGAGCTGTAAAATCTTGAAGTTTTGCGAAGCATATTTGATCATTTGGGCATAAGAGATGGCATACGTTTGAAGTACCATTGATGACTGAACGTAAGCTCGCATTTGATTTGATGAGAAATAATGTGGCTACCTAATAAATGCTCTTCAGCAACCACAAACGACTGTTGTTCTAATACTCCTTAATTTATCAAGATTTTAGAGTCTAATACCTATTTTCACCATTTTTTTTATTTCATTTCTTTATACTTTATTAAAGCACATCTGATCTAGGAAGGAACAGACACAAGTATGCACCCCCTAAATTTTTTATTAGTCAATTTAGTATTGGTTTTAAAAGATTAATTAAAATCACACTTCTTGGGCTTCTTTTGTTTTTTTTGTTTTTAATTAAAATTTATATAGTCTGTCAAAAATGGGATTTGCCCAAATCAGTTGTCAAGATGCACGTGTGACTATCTAGAATCCCACATTAGAAAGAGATAAGAACATGGTTTTCAAAATCGGATTGGATCGGATGGTCGAATCGGAAAAATCAAGAACTGGTCAGGTGACCGGTTCCGTTTTTCCCAAAACCGTTGATTTTGGTCAGTGAACCGTTT